AAAAAAAGTGATTTATGACCATTTTTCACACTTATAACCATTGGAGCATCTCCATGGCCACATGATCAAAATTTGGACACTGGCTGTAGTCTCTGGGGGGTGGGTGTCATGTGATCATCTTTTTGGACCTTCTGACAAAGTCAATGGGGAAGCCAGATTCACTTAACAACCGTGCTACTAATTTAAAATCTGTGACTCACTTAACAACTGTGGCAAGGAAGGTTGCAAAATGGGGCAAAGTTCACCATCCCACTATCTCGCTCAGCCCGATGTTGGGCTCTGTTGGGCTTGTAAGTTGGGGACTACCTGTTTATACCAGCTCTGCAAGTGTCATCAGTGTCTAATGCTACATTGGGATTATCCTTCCAGTGCCAAAACCCCAGATGAAGTTCAGCATTCAAACCATGTGCCCCATCGAAGGCGAAGGGAACATTGCTAGGTTCTTATTCTCCTTGCTCGGCGCAAAGCATAACACCGTCACAGCCACGTTGATGGACAGCTGGGTCGACACCGCCCTCTTCCAACTCCAAGGAGGAAGCAATAAAGAAAAGGCAGCAGTTCTGCGGGGCATGAATGCGACCCTCAGCAAGACCTCCTGGTTGGTGGGCAACGAATTGACGGTAGCAGACGTCGTGACCTGGTGCGCCCTTCAGCAGACGGGGGGCACGGAGGCCGTCCCAGCCAACGTGCAGAAATGGCTCCGGTCTTGTGAGAATCTGGCCCCTTTTAACGCTGCTCTCAAGCTACTGAAGTAGCATTTTCTCCTGTGGACAGGCAAGCAGGTTCAACTTTTTCGACCTCTCCGGTTATGAAATCTGGGATGATGTTTGGATAGATCAGATTTGAGAAATAACCAAAGCTGTAATGCCAATAAAGTTCATCGGAATTGTCCTTTGCAAAATGGTACTTTTTCAGCAAGAAAATTGGGGGCCCTTGATCACATCCACCTGGTCTTGGTAACCAGGAGGTTTTCCTTCTCTGATGGTTTTCTCCCAGCTTTCCTAACTGCTCCCATCCAAGAGTTAACAAGCCCAATCCTGATTAGCTTCTTTGGGATTAACCAAGATTGTCTGATCTGGCTACCTGCTGTAACCACAGCATTACTGTTAAAATGTCGGAAACTATAAAGGATTTCAGGATTGCTTATCTGTGATTTCTACTCAGTTCAAATGAGAAACATGCTCTTATAGATTTAGATGATTTTATATAAAAAAAAAATAAGACATGTTAAAAGTAACACAACGACAAATATTTTTGGTTTGCTTAAACAGGAGAGCCGAGTGGCTTGATTCTGTCTCTTTCCTCCCTCTCTTGTAACAGGACTTTAATTTTTTCTTTAAGAAGCTTGATTTCTTCTTCTTGCTTCATCACTTTCTGCTGAAGAGCACAAATGACCTAAATAAAAGAAAGCAGACAATTATTGCCTCCATTCCATATAGAGTAATGCTAGCACAGGAAGTGAACCAACCAGATTGGAGAGGATCACTCTTCTACATGGATGATCACTTCCTTTTTTAAAATTAAGAATAGCCGTCTTAATTTTATTTAAATTTTATTCCTTTTTTTTCCTCCTTTATTGTGGTTGTTAACCAACACAGGAGAAATGATATTCAAAATCGGGGGCTATTTATCTGGCTCATTGTCATAAATTATGACAATTATGGGCTAATTGTAATAATCTGGGCTTATTATCTTAAATTATAATCCATCATATAATTTAATTATAATTAGGGGCTAATTTGTCTTAGTCAAATTATGATATTCAGGCTTTAACAGAATAACAGAGTTGGAAGGGACTTTGGAGATTTTTCTAGTCCAAATCCCACCCTCTACCCATAAGGCAATGCCCCCCATGCACGCTCCGCCCATTTCTGGACTTCCGGTAGGCCCATTTTTCGCCCTCCCAGAGCTTCCGCGTGAGCCCTGTACTTACCTGGCATCCAAAATGGGCCGCGTGGAGATCCCTCGGACGGGAGGGGTGGCATGGGAATGCGCGCACGTCTCCATGCGCGCCAGCGACCCAAAAAGCAGCTGGCTGGCGGGAGGCACGCGCACATGCGCGGTGGAGCTGATCTAGGGCGACGGCTCCCGTGCCCGCAAAAATGGCTTCGCGTGCCACTTTGGGCCCGCGTGCCATAGGTTCGCCATCCCGGCCTTATACCATTTCAGACAAACGATTGTCCAATCTTTTCTTAAAACCCTCCACTGTTTATGATATTCTGCGATAAATGCATGATAATTTGGATAATCAGGATCAGATCTGGCCAAGGCTTACATTTGCTGAATTATGGAAGAGTTCACTTTCCAGCAGCTGAAGGGCTGTCGGTCTACGCGAGGATGCGTCGCTGGTCAGCAGCTTCACGTATCTGGCCTGTATTGGCCACTTCCCACAAAAAGTGAGCGGGAGGCTGCCCCGTCTTAAGCCCATCAGAACTTTTGTCCTCTCCATTTCTGTTCCAAATGGTTGGAAGAGTTCAAACAGGATGACGCCCAAACTGTACATATCCGACTAGGGAGATAAGAAATGTACAGGGTCAGAAAACTTTTTTTTCATATTTTAATACATCTTTTTATTATTCCTGCCTCTTAGAATCAATGCGGAGATGTGCGCTATATAGCAACAACTATGGAGTGATATATACCGTGTTTCCCCAAAAATAAGACCCTGTCTTATATTTTTTTGAACCCTGAAATAAGCGCTTGGCCTTATTGCCATGCGCTCAAAAGCCTGATTGGGCTTATTAACAGAGGAGGTCTTATTTTGGGGGGAGCAGGATATATATGATATATATATATATGTATATGATACATATATGAAGTGACATAGTAGGGACGCAGTGGCTCAGTGGCTAAGACGCTGAGTTTGTCGATCGAAAGATTGGCAGTTCAGCGGTTTGAATCCCTAGTGCTGCATAACGGGGTGAGCTCCTGTGACTTGTCCCAGCTTCTGCCAACCTAGCAGTTCGAAAGCAGGTAAAAAATGCAAGTAGAAAAATAGGGACCACCTTTGGTGGGAAGGTGACAGTGTTCTGTGCGCCTTTGGCGTTGAGTCATGCTGGCCACATGACCACGGAGACGTCTTTGGATAGCGCTGGCTCTTCGGCTTTGAAATGGAGATGAGCACCGCCTCCTAGAGTCAGGAACAACTAGCACATATGTGCGAGGGGAACCTTTACCTTTACCTTTATGGAGTGATTCTTGCTAGGGAGGAAAATTTTAGCAAAAGCAGTGATGTGAGCCAGAAACTTTTCCAGGGTTGATACTTTGAGCCAGCTTGGCAATTTCAAAGCTGTACTTTTTTTGCTTTCTAAGTGAGAAGCCCAAAAAACTGGGATCAGACTTGTTCCCAGGGCGCGCTCAATCTCCCTCTAAGCAAGGCCACCAGACTTCTAAGGTACAATAAAATCACTGTCATTTTGTAAGGCGCTGCAGAGTTTGAAGTCCCCTGATTTAGTGCAATATAAAAAAAATGCAAATAATTTTTCTGCGGACCACCAAAATTTTCTCACGGACCATCAGTGGTCCACGGACCACCAGTTGGTGACCGCTGGTTTAGAAAGGGCTGTAAAGCACTATGCAGCACTATAGAAGTGCTATTTCTTAATACGTCTTTGACATCTGAAAGATGGAATTTCACCGCTGAGGTCCCGTTTCAAAAAAAAAAAGCTCGTTAGATTGGAGATTGGGACGTTTGTACCTTGAAATCATAATGAGAGCCTTGAAGTTGTTCAGGTGAAGCATACAGACAAGTGCCCACTCCAGAGGTATGGATGAACGCTGTACCAAAATAGAGGGAACATTAGCATGTTTTTTTAAAAAAAATCAAGCATTGCAAATCAATAACCAAAGCACTGTTAAGAGTGGAATAATTACCATAATTATTCTCTGCACTGAGCAGTTGGGTTGTATCTTCCTCTATAATGTCTCTACAGGCTAACCCAAAGTCCCCTATTTTCACGTGATGGTTAGGTCCTTGGAGAAAGATATTCCGGGGCTGTGAAAACAAAACCAATGGACTGATGATGTTACCTAGTTGGGTCACGAAACGTCTGCAAGAAAACAAGCAAGCTCAGAGACCCCCCAAGGACCCCTCACTTCAACCCCGAGCTACAAATATCCTCCTTTATTGGTACAAAACAGGGTTTCTGAATGCATTCCAGAAATTTCAAATCACATTTCAATTAACACTTGGTTATCAGAGCTTTCGATTAAATGAAAGTGTTGAAATAGAGCCGACGAGATTCAGATTGTGAGCACCGAGTAGGGCCGTGATGGCGAACCTATGCACACGTGCCACAGGTGGCACGCAGAGCCATATCGGTGGGCACACAAGATTATTGAGCTTTTCAACCCCCGGTAGGCCAACCATGGATAAATCCAAGAAAAGATTCAGAAGAAAACAGAATGCTTAATTCAACTACATATGCTAGTTTTATGGCCGCTCAAGAAATAGTCAGGCACCGGAAGGATTTTGTGGCTCCCGGTGTTTTCTTTTCTGTGGGAAACGGGTCCAAATGACTCTTTTTTTTTTTTTTTTAAATTTGATTTATATGCCGCCCTTCTCCAAAGACTCAGGGCGGCTTACAATGTGCTCAGCAATAGCCTTCATCCTTTTGTATATTTATACAAAGTCAGTTTATTGCCCCCACAAACTGGGTCCTCATTTCACCTATATAATTTATTATCCGGGGAGGTCTTATTTTCGGAGAAACGCGTTACTAGAGAAGGCTTTCAGGGAGGGTCAGACCTAGCTCTTTGCTGTTTACGTAGAGAGTCCAGGCTAATTCCTCACTTGACCCCTGCTCCGATGGCTGCTCTCCAACAGGTGGAGATGTACGCCTGATCTGAACATGACATCTTTGTAGAGGCCATTAACCTTCTCTGCTGGCCTGCAACCTTTTAAACCAATGAGATCACCTCTTAACTGGTTCCAGAACCGAGCATCACCGTCACAAAGGAACAATGGCTCAAACGGAAGGTTCCCAAATGCGTTTCCGCCACGCTCAAAACTACCCATTTTGTTCCTCCCCTTGACATGGGTAACTTGATAAGACGTCCCCCCAAATGGGAAAGCGAATCGACGGACAAAATATTAATTGACGCTATCATGACCAACAACACATCGATGCTCCAGGAGTTACTGCCGTCCCATTCAGTTTACCAAACGGTTATCTGCCAGGTAAGCGATATTATCTGCTCAATCTAAAAGACTAAAAAAAAAGAATTGAAAACGTAAGAATGCAGGTCATCCTCGGTTTACGACGACAACGGAGCCCCGCGTTTCTGTTGCCAAGCGAAACATGGGTTAAGTGCGTTTTTCTCCCATGTTTTTCAACCTTTCTTGCCACGGTTGTTAAGCGAGTAACAAGGTTGTTAAGTGAATCTGGCTTCCCCATTGGTTTTGCTTGCAAAAAGATCGCAAAAGGAGATCACGTGACACCCACAGAACACTGCAACTGTCACAAATACGAGTCAGTTGCCAAGTGGTCCGAATTTTGATCACCTGACCCTGGCGGTAAAACGGTCCCCGTTTTTCGGTGCAGTTGTAACTTCAATTGGTCACTAAATGAACCGTTGTAAATCAAAGACTACCTGTACATAGAATTTTATGTAGCCTGTCCAAAGCCAGTCCTTCTGAAAAGACGCTTAATTCAGAATTACAGCATTTCATTCCCTTAGAGAAGATAAAGATATAAAAGGAATGAAAATTCAAAAGGAAGAATACAAATTGCAAGCATTCGCAGATGACCTGGTTTTTATTCTTGAAGATCCATTAGAATCAGCAATGAAATTGATAGACAAGATAGGAGAATATGGAAAAGCAGCAGGTTTGAAAATAAAGACAAAATGAAGTTTTTGACAAAAAAATATGTTAATAAAACAAAAAGAACTGGCGGAAGCACTGAAGATGCAGATCACAAATAAGCTTAAGTATTTGGGGATATACCTGACAGCAAGATGTAGTACACTTAAAGAGAATAATTACAATAAACTCAAACAACAGATAGTGACAGACTTGGCAAAGTGGGGAAATTTACAACTATCATTAATAGGGAGAATATCAACGATTAAGATGAATATATTTACCTAGAATTCTATATTTGTTCCAGACAATTCCAATTAGGCTGGGGAAAGAATATTTTGAGGATTTAAATAAAATAGCGTTGAAATACATTTGGCAGGGTAAAAAAACCGAGAATAAAACTAAAATTGTTGCAAGATGCTAGAATACGAAGAAGATTTGGCTTGCCTAATTGGGAATTATACTATCAAACGACAAGTTTGACGTGGATCAAGGAGCATTTCATTCCAAAGGGTCTTTAAATGTGATTTTTTTTTTTGATCTGAACATTTTGACAAGCAGCGGAATGACTGTACAACCTGATGCGTATCTAATTAAAACTAAGTTCCCTTGATCAACTTTTAGAATTTAAAGTTAAATGGGACTTAATTCTTAATTCTAATTCACAAGTTTATGAGATGAGGCTGTCATCTTATACGCTGTCCAGAGTCATTTTTACTGAGACAGGCGGCTCTATAAATTTCACTATTTGTGATAATTAAAATCTTACAAATACATTTGGATTAAGCCCTCGGTGAAAAAGTGACGTGTTCTTTGGTCAATCCTTCTGATAGTTACTATAATTTATTTATTTATTTATTTATTTATTTTTGAATTTGTATACCGCCCTTCTCCCTGAGGACTCAGGGCGGTGAACAGCCAAATAAAAACATCAAATACAAATATGCAGATTATAGAATATTTTAGCAGGCTTCCCACAGAAATCCGACACTTTCAAAACAACCAGCAAAATGTGTTAACAACTAAAACTTTCTGCAATCACTTTCTGGACACCTAAAATGTTAGCCGATGTTCAGGTCAGATTCAAAGAATAAGCTACTTCTTATTCCACGTTTCCCTGAAAATAAGCCCTCCCCAAAAATATTTAAATGCAGGCTCAGCCGGTCCCCGCCGTTTTCTCTGGTTAGGGTTAGGGAGACAGAGCTGGAAATCAGGTAAGACGGCAAGAGAAGCCCTGTCTTGCTCCATGCGCCCCAAAATAATAAGACCTCCCCGAAAATAAGGCCAAGCGCTTATTTCGAAGTTCAAAAATAATATAAGACAGGGTCTTATTTTCGGGGAAACAAGGTAGAGCAAAACATACGATAAATTATAAATAGCCTGCATAGGTCTTGATTTAACTAAACCACATTAAATATGATAGATTGCGCCACTAGCTTACATGTTGCCAATTATGACTTTTGTATTTTTTTCTCCCCAACTGTCCAAGGAAAAAGGGAGATTTGGGCAAGACAATACACAAAATGGAGATCCTGAAAAGAGGTAATGTTTTGCCAAACGTCCGAAGTTATAATACGGGATTTGGGAAATGCTTAACGGCAAGAACTGTGACACACAAAGAATTAGGGCCGCACTTTAAATTCCAGCCAATCTGATTTATTGCTCGCGCTTATTGAGGTAGTCCTCCATTTACGACCACAATGGAGTCCAAAATTTCTGTTGCTAAGTGGAACATTTATTAAGTGAATTTTGCCCCATTTTGTTGTGGCCCATCTGCGGAACGCCGACTGAAGCAATTTGTAGGGAACAACTTCAGTTCACCCTCCTTCGCGTCTGGATTCTCTGCAAATTGCTTCTGGGCTTTCTGCCAACCTTAGTAAGATTACGATTATTTATTCTTTGGATTCTTGTAGGCCGTTAAGAAAGTTAATTAACAGCCTTTGTTTGAAAAAGACTGATTTAATTTAGAAAACTAAGGTTTGTACAGACTTTGTGTGTGCTGCGTTCTTTGGGGTCCGTAGCTGGGGCAGAACACATTTTAACGACCTTTCTTGACACAGCTGTTAAGCGAATCATTGCAGTTGTTAAGTGAGTCACACAGTTGTTAAGTGAATCTGGCTTCCCCACTGACTTTGCTCGTCAGAAGGTCGCAAAAGGGAATCGCGTGAGCCTTCAACACCGAACCGTCATCAGTACAAACCAGTTGCCAAGCATCTGAATTTTGGTCACATGACCACGGGGATGCTGCAACGGTCGTTAAGTGTGAAAAACAGTCACGAGTCACTTTTTTTCAGTGCCGTTGTAACTTTGGTCACTAAATGGACAGTTGTAAATTGAGGACTACCTGTACACAAGAATCTTATCAAACGAATGGTCAGCACGCTGGCACTATCGTGTTTCCCCCCCCCAAAATATGACCTACTCAGAAAGTAAGTCCTAGCTTGATTTTTACACGTGCCAAATATAAGCCCTACCACCAAAATAAGCCCCAATTAAGACCCCACCTACTCCAGGGTACATAGGTAAAAATTAAGCTAGGGTGAGGATGGAGCGGTGGAGCTACCCTAACCCGGATCCAGAGCTCTATTATCAGCTGTAGAGGCCTTCAGGAAAGTCTTGCCAGCTGCAGAAGAAATGGGCCGAGGTGTGCGAGGCCCGGCTGAAACTATCCAAAGCCAAAGAATTTCCTGAAGGCCTCTGACAGCAAAAATGGAGGCCGAGGGCAACACACACAAGTGAGATGAGTCCCCCCCCCTCAAAAAAAAAATAAGACCTGGTGTCTTTTTTGTGGCAAAAAAATATAATACAGGGTCTTATTTTCGGGGAAATACGGTAGAAACAGAGTCAATGGAATTCAACGGACTGGTCTTAGACCGTTTGTGGGAATGTAATGATTCTAGGCTGGTTCCTCTCTTGACTCCACCCCTGGACTCTACTTGTCCTTTTCCTAGAAAAAAACCTTTTAACACTGCCGAGTCAAGCTGCTTAGCAGTGAAAGACCAAAGAATGAAAAGTCATCTTCGGTTGGTTGGCTGGAGTTGATGTCATCAGAGATATCTAGACAGCACCGTGTCGTTTGCTCCCGGTATATATTCCATTAGAGAGAAAAAGAACTTGCAAATATTTATTTTATCCCTGCCCATTTAGCCCCCCAAAAGCAGAATGCTGCACGGAGAACCGCCACAAAGCAGAAGAAAGGAATGACAGCAAGCAGCTCCCCATCAAATCGAAGAAGAGCATCAAGGCCACGCCCAGTGACGTGGCTGGCCACCACGATCACCATCCTCTCCATCTGGCTATAACCAACGGGTGTCATCACCTTATCCCCGACCTGCTGAAGCGGGGGGCAAGAATAGACGACAGGACAAAAGCCGGCCAAACCGCTCTTCACCTCGCTTCCAAAACCCTCAACCAAGAAGCCGTTCAGATGTTACTCCGCTGTGGGGCCAAGGTAAACTCCACCACTCCGATGACCCAAGAGACCCCGCTCCATCTGGCCGTCCACACCTTGTCCTGCAAGGCCGGCATTGTCCTAGCGGCCGACGGGAAGTGCGTGGAGCTTCTGCTGATGAATGGAGCCGACGTCTGTGTGAAAGACTGGAAAGGCCAGGAAGCCCTCCACCACGCTTGCCGAAATGGCCGGGAAGACATTATTAACCTCCTCCTCAATTATGGGGCGGACGTGAACGCCTTAACGTTGCAAGCGGAGTCGTGCCTTTTCCTGTTCCTGGAAAAAGCCACCAATCTCAAGAAGGCCAACGTTCTCTGGAAGCTGCTGAGCCTATCCTACCCTCTGAAGCTCACCAACTCTGAGGATCGTCTACCCCGACTGCTGGATGACCCCTACTGGGAGCCGCTGAAGGACATACTCCTCCAGGTGTCTTCACAAGTGTGGTCCTTACAGGACATTTGCAAATTCAACATCCGGAAGGTCTACGGAGGAAACTCGAGATACTGGCTCAAAGAGGCGATGCCCATCGAACTGTGGGACTCTATCTACACGAGCCAAGAGTTTTCGTATGCCTCGAAAATCGTCGAAAGGATTTTTGACGGTGGGCGCCGCCAGTCCGAAGTAAGGGAAAGGCCCTGGGATGCCAGCCTCCTCCTCCTCTTTCTCCTTAGCGTGATTCCTGCGCTGTGGCAGGGCCCGCTTTTCCTGGGACGCTAAGGTGTTGGGTCAAAAAGTAAAATAAAATTGAAAGTCTTTTAAGCTTCGTGTTCCGAGTCAATCCTCACAGACGTTGCTTTCGATGGGGGGGGGGGGGGGGTTTCCCTGTTGGGATATTTAGAGAAGAAAAACGGTGTGTGTGTGTGTGTGTGTGTTTCTGCGTTTGGAGATGTGTAACAGATGTGCACCTTCCGAGATGGGTAAAATGAGGATGTACTGTTGGGGGCGATAGGCTGACTTTGTAAACCGCTTAGAAAGGGCTGTAAACCACTAACTATAGAGTGGTATGTAAGTCTAAGTGTTATTGCTCTTCCTTCCTTCCTTCCTTCCTTCCTTCCTTCCTTCCTTCCTTCCTTTCCCTTCCCTTCCCTTCCCTTCCCTTCCCTTCCCTTCTACCCATCCATCCATCCATCCATCCATCCATCCATGGTGCACAGTGGTTAGAATGCAGTATTGCAGGCTGACTCTGCCCACAGCCAGGAGTTTGATCCTGAGAGGCTCAAGGTTGACTCAAGCCTTCCATCCTTCTGAGGTGGGTAAAATGAGGATGCAGATTATCGAGGGCAATGATTCACCCTAACACATTAGACATTAGTAAAATGGTAAAATATAACGAAATTTTGGATAACGGGAGAAGATTAAAATCCAACCTAGAATTAAAGGAGCAGGGAATAATTATAGATTGGTGGCTTTATCTCCAGCTATAATCGAGATACAAAAAAGATTTAGAGGAATTTGGATTTGAACCGAAGTTAACACAACTAGACAAATTATTAACAGGCCCGGAAGAGAAATTACTATCTAAAATATATAATTATTTATTAAATTTTGATTTGGAAAAGGAAATTGTAAAGGGGCCAATGATAGCTTGGGCTAAAAATGTGGGACATAATATTGAGTTAGAAGATTGGGAAAAAATTTAGAAGAAAAATTATACATTAACAAAATCCACCGCATATAAAGAAAATCAGTATAAAATGTTCTATCGCTGTCACTTAGCCCCAACAAGACTTGCAAAAATATATCCCAATCTAAGCCCTAACTGCTGGAAATGTAAAAAAAGCACAAGGTACCTTTTTTCATGTATGGTGGCTTTGCCCAGAAATCACAAAATACTGGATTAAAATACAAAAATGGTTAAATGAAATTACACATTGCCAAATAGAATTGAAGCCTGAACTGTTTCTTCTGGGGATCATTAAGGAAAAATATACTAAAAAGATTAAGTATTTTATCATTCATATTATTACAGCAGCAAGAATTGTACTCGCACAAGCCTGGAAAATGTCCATTACACAGACAGATTGCGTAATAATCCAGAAAATTTTTGAGTGTGCAGAAATGGACAAACTTATTATAGAATTAAATAACAAGGAAGACTTGGAATGTTACTCAACCTGGGAAAACTGGTATCAATGGATAGAAAATAAAAATAGGAAACATATAGATCAAAATAAGACGTAAATTGTGTTTACATGTATTTGATCAAGAAGGAATATCTGAGAATATATGAATAGAGTTAAGATTTGTGTACTGTTGGAACGACGTTGAATTGTATAACTATCATGGATGTATTTTTGTTATAGATGTATTTGTATTAGTATTTTAATATTTTAAATTTTAGTAAAGGTTTTTTGATTTTTTTTTTTAAAAAATAAACTAAATAAAAGGGGTTTTATTGGGACGGGGAGTCGGCTTTGTGCTTGTGGGAAGCCTAGGTCAATTTTACTTACTTTAATGTCCCGGTGCATGACTCCATTCATGTGGATATAGTACACTCCTTCTAGCAGCTCCTGGAAAATCTTTACGGTCCAGTGTTTCTCGATGTGATGATAAGGATCTTTAAAAACATTAAAAAATTAAAAATAAAACAGTTTTGCATGTGCACTGCTGAAATGTCTTTATAACAGCTCGTTCGTGAGTCTTGTTTAAATAGCGTTGATTTTTTTTTAAAAAAAAAAGCAAGCAAGCATCTTTTCCAGGAGATTTGCTTAGGCTTTTAAGACTTACTAGAGGCATCTGTTGCTCTCAGGCATTTGTCATTTCTCGCGGCAATCCAATCACACAAGGAGGTTTCGCACAGTTGCATTTGTATGTGAAGCATCAGGTGATATTCGGTCTAAGAAGGAAAGAGGGAGGTATTTTTTTTTTCAATGGGCCACTAGAAAGGTGTATAATACTACAGCAAACCTATGAAAGGCCAGGCGGTTACAAGGAGAGATGTCAAACTCGATTTCATTGAGGGCCGCATCAAGGTTGTGTTTGACCTTGGGGGGCTGGGGGGCAGGGGCTGGCGAGGGTGGGCATGGCCAGCCTGACGGCATTTGTGTCGGAGGCACCTATGGTGGCCCGAGAGCTCTGCCAGCAAAAACAGGTGTCAGGGTTCCAAGTAACACCCCCAACGAAAGAAGACTCCGAGGCTAGAAGCTCCTCAAAATTCCATTTTATGAGAGGTCATATTGGCACATCTGGGAAAACCCGAATCTGAAAGCTTCCAGGTTTTCCCCACCCATAGAAAAGTCCAAGTCCCTTCCCCTGCACCCACATGTCCATCACATGGTCCAATCAATGCACCCTCCCAACTGGAGATGCCTCCCAGTCACGCCACTCCAGGTGCAGGGCAAGATGTCCTTGATTCTCTGAGAAAGGAATGTTATTATGACTACATATCTCCCCTGCTCCATACAATCCTCCCTCCCAGTTTCCCACAGTAGTAAATGTGGCAGACCTGAAGATCCAATGCAAAAGATGGCTCCCAGGCCTGACAACAGGCTCCCGAGCTCTGTTTTCGGCTGGGACGGTCTCCTGCAATCCTCTGCCAGCAAAAACAGAGCTCGGGAGGGCCATATGCAGCCCTTCCGAGCTCCGTTTTCACTGGCAGAGGCACTGCGGGTTGGTCCTTCGCTGTTCTCAGGGCAGCCCTGCAGGCCAGATCTAAGCACCCCGCAGGCCAGATCCAGCGCCCGGGCCTTGAGTTTGACACTCCTGGGTTACAGGTTGTCCTTGACTTACATACGTGCTAGTCGTTCCTGACTCTAGGGGGCGGTACTCATCTCCGTTTCAAAGCCGAAGAGCCGGCGCTGTCCGAAGACGTCTCCGTGATAATGTGGCCGGCATGACTCAATGCCAAAGGCGCACGGAACGCTGTTCCCTTCCCGCCAATGGTGGTCCCTATTTTTCTACTTGCATTTTTTTACGTGTTTTCGAACTGCTAGGTTGGCAGAAGCTGGGACAAGTCATGGGAGCTCACCCTGTTACGCGGCACTAAGGATTCGAACCGCTGAACTGCCAACCTTTCGATCGACAAGCTCAGCGTCTTAGCCACTGAGCCATAATTAACGCCCATATGAGACAAATTTGTATTTACCATACAAGGCTGGGGTGAAGATATCTCCTTTTCTGAGTCTTCATCCCTACAAGAATCGTTCGCATTGGTGTGGTCCCCATTTTCATCGCAGCGACGTAACAGCGAGGCCCGGTTTCCATTGTCCCTCAAGTCGTTGCTCGTGTCACTGTCACTGCTGCTGCCGTATGTCCCAGAAGGAAGCGTGCAAGAATTCCCTTCATTTCTGTTAGAATTTCTGCTGAAAGAATCCTCTGGAGTCGGATTGGCAAAGATGATGGAACTGTCTTCCATTTCTTGAATGCAACTCTGGTCCCTGCAAAAGAATAATAATTCCAAAATCAAGGCAGGGAAGGCAACTGTACACCCCTTCAGGGTCCCCTCCCCCCCCCAAAATAATTTATTAAAAAGAATTTGTTTTTTAAAAAATGAGGCAGGTTTCTTTTGTGGAGTCTTAGAAGACGTACTTAGAATTTTCTGCCTCCGAAGACATTTTGAGAGATGGAAGATCCAAGACTAAGCCACCTGTAATGAAGAAACGGGACACTTTATAATAAAGACAATTTTATAACCCTGGGTTCGTACGAGACAGACAAAATTGGATTTTACTGTTGTTGTGGGCGATTTATATGTTGGGGCCATCATGGGACATGTGGACAGGTCACCTAATCCAGGTTTAATGTATCCAAACCGTTGTTAATACCACAAAACTTTTGTGTTATTCAGCTTTATAAATACAGTGATGAAAGTCCAGGAACCTGCACCTATCAACAGGACTTGGAACTTAATTCCAGTCTCCTAAAGTCTCTGTGAATCTTTCTGACAGGGGCCTTGTCCTCGAGTTAGAAGCACTTCCGGGTTGAAAGGATATCAGTGACATATTTATTAAGAGTGTAAACCTTATCAAATTCCTGCCAAGACGCTTCAGGGAGCAATGCTTTAAAAAGCATTTTTATGAATTGTGTGGACAAAAAACGCACCCTACAGACCCCGTGCCTTCCGTGCTCTTAGTTTCAATCTTTCAATGGCTGTGAATTTTAATTGTAATGGTTTTAACACCTGTGCTTTTATGCTGTTGTGAGCTGCCCACTCGAGACAGCGAGAGAGAGATGGCTTATACATTTAATCAATAAAATTGAGTAAAAGGTAAAGGTAAAGGTTCCCCTTGCACATATGTGCTAGTTGTTCCCGACTCTAGGGGGCGGTGCTCATCTCAGTTTCAAAGCCGAAGAACCGGTGCTGTCCAAAGACGTCTTCGTGGTCACGTGGCCGGCATGATTAAACGCCAAAGGCGCACGGAACGCTGTTCCCTTCCCACCAAAGGTGGTCCCTATTTTTCTACTTGCATTTTTTTTACTTGCTTTTGAACTGCTAGGTTGGCAGAAGCTGGGACAAGTAACGGGAGCTCGCCCCATTACGCGGCACTAGGGATTCGAACCGCTGAACTGCCGACCTTTCGATCGACAAGCTCAGTGTCTTAGCCCCTGAGCCACAGCGTCCCTTAAAATTGAGTGGGTGGGATGAAGCTCACAAATTATAAACTGCTGCAAATTGTTCAATCAGACAGATGAGACCAGTGGTATAGATACGGGATGGACAGACGGACAAACAAACAAATAAATAAATGCTCCCCTTTTGGACATGCTGGCTGAACATGTTCCATCCAAGCCGTGTGGTAACCTACAATGTTAGGATGCTG